CTGGATCAGAACATCATATTAGTTATTCAAGCTTTGTAAGAATTTGGAAGAGTTATCTTCCTGAAATTCAATTCCTCTCACCATGAACTGATCTTTGTACCTTATGTAAAGAAATGAGATTTAATGCAAATTTTTGGTCTTTAGCTGAAAAAGAACAAAAAGTTAATAATTGGAATGCACATATTAAGTGGGCAAATAATGAAAGAGATAATTATAGGCATAGATTTAAATATTTCATTTTAGGTTTAATTAGTTTAATTTATAAATCATTTGTTTTATATACAAAAATTAGGAGCTGTATACAATTTGCAAAAAAAAGTTTGGAAAGTAATGAACCAACATTTATGGGAAAGGAAATTCCTCCATGTTCATCAGATGTTGATGTTCATATTTCATGGGATTATGCACAACAAATACAACTTCCAAGTTCATCTCAACAAGTGGTAAATTGGTTTATTTTTTTAATAAAATTGATTTAAAAAATTGATACTAATTTATTTAAAAATTAGGGAATTTCATATTTTAAATCATTGTACAAAGTGCAATTATTTGGTATATATATCCAATGATGCTATACCAAGACAAGTAATGTTAATTAAACTATCCTTTGATTTTTTAAATAGTTAACATATTAACTTTTTTTTAAAATTTTAGATAAATTATTTAATTCCCGAAAAATATTCAATGGGTAAAGGCTCTGATACTGTAGTTTCCATGGTGCATGATTACTTTCAAAAACATGGATTAAGTGAAAAAAATATCACAATTCATGCTGACAACTGCTCTAGTCAAAATAAAAATAATACTATGATATGGTATTTAGCTTGGAGAGTGATGAATGGATTACATAAAAGAATAACTTATTCTTTCATGGTGCCTGGACATACCAAATTTTCACCAGATGGTTTTTTTGGCTTAATTAAATTGAAATTGAGAAAATCAGAAATTGATGATATTAATGATTTAGTTGAAATTGTCAATAATTCAACTACAGCTATGTACAATTTGGCACAACCTGTTTATGAAAATAGTGAAAGAAAAGTAGATTTTTACCAATGGAATGTTTTTTTCTCAAAGTATTTTAAAATTCTCCCTGGGATTTCTAAATATTATCATTTTCTATTTGAAAGTGAACATCCAGGTTATATAAAATATAAAAGGTGTCATAGTGATGATTTTGGATCTTATAATTGTCTTTAAAGGACCACAGTTTAGATATTAATTCAATTAATTTGGATGATGAATTGAAAATCAAAGAAGCAATAGGGTTAAGTGCTTCTAGACAATGGTATTTATATGACCAAATACGAGATCTAGTGCAAAATCCCAATAAAAGAAATAATATTTGTCCAAAACCTTCTGTACCTAGACATTAATTGTTAATTTTATCAATAATTTATTAATTATATGTATTATTATTGTTTTTAAAATTTTTTGGGTCAAGATTGTCTGCATATTTTCTATATTTTTTAAATTTTTTCAGGTTGTCATTTCCTTTTATGGGAAATTAATAACAAAAACTTCAAACCCCTTTTTCTCAAAATGACAAAAAAAAAATTCACTGATTTTATCAGATGATGTCCCATATGGGACATGCTGAACAAAACCAGACAAAGTGAACATTGGTATTACCAAGAATTTCAGGGGTCAATATGTTTGTCTAATATCACAACTGTATTACCAATGTAATATGATCATGCATGACATGATATTTGTTTTTTGCTTAGGATTACCTTTAGATAAAATAGTTAATATGAAACTCATTTACATCAGATATGGAACCCAAGAATTACAATTTAGTTAATCAATTTTTTGCATCATTATGCATGCTAATTAATTTCTTTTATTTTTATTTTTTTTCATTTAGAAAAAAAACAATCCAAGAAAAGAAAAGAGAGAGAGAGGGAGGGAGAGAGAGAGAAGTTGATTCAGGTAAGTGTTATTATTTGGGGCATGCTGCAACAAAACCAGACAAAGTGAACATTTATAATACCAAGAATTTCAGGGTTCAATAATGTTTGTTTAACATCACTATTGTGTACCAATGTAATGTGATTATGGTATTATTTGTTTTAGAACTATCCCTATATAAAAATAGTTAATATGAAATTAATTTACATCAGATCTACTATGGAACCCAAGAATTATAGTACCATCAGAAGTATTTT